GGGAGTGATTGGTCTGCCGTGCCAGGGAGTGATTGGTCTATTGTGCCTTGAGATGATTGGTCTGTTGTGCTTCAGAGTGATTACTCTGCCGTGCCTTGGAATGATTGGTTTGCTGTGCCTCGGAATGATTGGTTTGCTGTGCCTCGGAATGATTGGTTTGCTGTGCCTCAGAGTGATGGCCTCAGAGTGAAAAGTCTGTCGTGCCTCAGAATGTTTGGTCTGCCGTGCTTTGGTGTGATTGGTCTGCCGTACCATGGAATGATTGGTTTATCATGCCATGGAATGACTGGTCTCCCATGCCTCAGAACGATTGGTCTGCCGTACCTTTGCCCCTTCCCCTGAGTGATACCTTGGTCCAGAGATGCAGTAATAAGTAATCATCCGAGATACTCCTGATGGAACCTACTGCTGCGTACAGATAATTTTTTGGACATGGCTCGTTGAGATGAGTGTGCTGAAGAGAAACCGATGTGCCTGTTTTGATTGAAATTGTAAATCAACTTCTCCGCCGACTAAACCATGATGAGCATGTCACTGAAACGTTGATGATGTTAATTGTCTTGCTTTTGTCCCGAGATCTGGATTCATTTAACTAATATTATCTGTGAGAACATAACCAGTCAGCTGTGATTGTATGCAAATTAGTCTCTGCCATTTATCGGATTAATGTTAGAGAAAAAGATGATACCAGATGTCTAGAACTCTCAATTTTTTAAAACCTACATATTTAGACTCCTTGAATAGACTAGAATTTGAGCTTCCGTGTTCTGCATCTGTGTGTGTGCGGCAGCCCTGTTCACTCACACCCCTTCCAGCATGTCCCATGCTGTGTGCTCCCTCCTCCCTGTAACCCTGCACTCAATTGGATGGATGGATGGATGGACGGTTGAGTGTTTGGCTGGTTAGCTGGCTGACTGACTGTATTGCCAGAAAAGCAAAGCCATTGTGTCTAGAGGCTTATATGGTCCTAATAACATTTTATGTCCCGTCCCATAGACAGTATGACAATGTCTATGGAGGGCTTCGGGCCGGACAGTGTCTTCACTGTGAACGAGGACAACAGCCAATACAGAATCAGCAGGAGTCTGGTCCGCTCAGCAGAAGGATGCACCGTACCGCTGACTAGAGTGAAATGCCTGGTCTCCATGACAACGCCTCACGACATCAGGCTACACGGCTCATCTGTCACGCCAGCCTTCGTGGAGTTCGACACCTCTCTAGAAGGGTTCGGGTGAGACGCGCCACGCTTTGCTGCTTTCTGCAACTTATTTACCGCAGATATGCCTGTTGCGTTTTGCCATAGGCACCATAAGTGCTTAAATTCTGGAAATAAGATACCAGCAGAGGAATTTGTGTGGCATTTCCTGGGCTGTATTTATGTGTATGAAATTAAGGTAAAATGTTAAAGAAAACATTTCAAGGGTTGCAGTTTTCACTGAGTTTTTTTACTGTGCCTTATTGCCCTAGTTTTGTTACACATAAAAGTACACACACACACACACACACACACACACACACCCCCATTGGTATTCATGAAATATTTATGTGAATTCCCAGTCGTCATGCCACTGCTCTTAATCGGAGAAGAAAATGAAATATAACAGGCATGACACAAAAAGATTTTGCCTTTCTGTCTCATCTGCTCTTTTAATTTTTAAAAAGTATATATTATTTATTATTATTATTATTATTTATTTCTACTTCTGAGCACTGAAACCCAGTTTGAGGTGCCACACTCATTTGAAAAGACAAGAAAAGGGAGACATACTATATATTTTTGGTACTCTAGAAAAAATTCTGCTAATACTGTGGATTAGACATTCATTCTGGAGTTAATTATCTATAGTACATCGAAATGTGGCAAAATACCTGGTACTTGGCACTGCCGTCAGCTTTCTGTAAAGTTTGCAATTATTATTTTTTTTGCTAAAGTTTGACTAAATTAGACGACACACATGACAACTTTCATCAGACTCCCAAATGAGACGGTGACATTGCTTCCCTGCTTTGAGTGATCGCGGTTCAGGCTGCTCTCTTCCTAGTTCTCTCACTTATTGAAAAATGCTGTATTAAAAACAGCATGCTGCATGAATCATTGAAAACAGTGCTGGTAGAAATAGACTTATTTTCCTGTCAGGCTTTGTCATCAGTATTTGTTCCTCCCTTGTAATCGGCCGCGTCATCACTAACGAGGGCGGCTGCAGGCCTGCGTGACACCAGCCATGCCTTCTGAGCAGAGAGTCTCTGCCTCCTTTCAAAATGTCAGCTTTTTATGCCCACAGTTCACAGCCACACACATTTTTGTCACCTTTATTTACAGATTATGTCTTGTGATAAAAGGAGCATAACATTTCTGGAATTATGAAACAAGAAAAAGTGGTTTGTGTAAGAAAACACCTCAGAGTGATTATTTAGTAGAATCACCTTTTCCTTTACAGTCTGAGCATGTTTGGACACAACCACCCTCTGCCCACTGTTTACAGAATTGTCCCACCAAAATCAAAATGCTTGATGACCATTGAAGGACTGCCTTCTTCACGTCTGATTAGGTTAGGGCCATTCGTGGACATTGACCCTTTGTCCTTCAGCCACTGAAATTTCTCTGGCAGTCTGCTTTGGCTCACTGTCACATTGAAAAGTGGGCCATCTTTCCATCTTCCACTTTCTGCCTGAGGGTAGCAGGAATTCTTCAAGAACCTGTTGGTATTTTGTACCAGCTATCTTCGCTTTTGTCTTGAGAAGCGACCCAGTCCCTGTCGTAGAGAAACCCCCCTCAGAAGAATTCTGCTCCTTTCATACAGGCTAGATTTATGGAGCACTTGTTGGTACAGAGACACCCACACAATAACCTGTGCTTCATAATGGTCTGTAGCTTCTTTGGAATTGCCAATGCCCTCTTGGCCGGGCGGCCCAATGTAGATCTTCTGGGTGGTGTGTTATCTCTTCTACTTCCTGATGATGTCTTTACTGTGCTATAACCGGTCATTAAAAACAGATCTTCTTAATGCCTATGCTTTCTCCAGCTTCAATTCAAAGCTCTTTTGAACATCCCTTTCCACCCACAATGTTTTGTTTTGCGTTGAAATGTCCTACCAAGCACTGGCACCCTCTACAAACACATGATTTTATCCAGAGCTAATTATTCAGTTGGCCACTAATCTTGTTTTGTCATTTTTTTTCATGGTTATCCCTGATTGACTTTGCAGATGCATTAGGGAAAGGGGTGAAAAATATATTCTGTTGTAATATTTGGGGATTTTGTTTTGACCTGAGTTACTATGTGAGAAGTAGCATTATTTTATTATTCTCTCAGGGTGTAATTTAATGGAAACTATAAATTCTGAAAATGGATGGATGGACTTTCTGTAACCATTGTATATTATCAAATCAGTTTGTGATCAGGTATAACTCATCATGTTTTTATTTTTCTTTTTACAGTTGCCTGTTTCTGCCTAGTCTGGCACCCCATAATGCCTCTACCAACAACGTCAACACGTCGGGAGTCAGTGAAGGAGCAGTGGTCAGCGGGATGGGGACCGGTCAGTACACACTGTATCCACGCTAAAGTGCCCTGCTCTGGTACTGACGTGTATACTTACTGCATCCGGCCGGAAGCCGTGCGGTGATGAGCTTAATCTCAAATGTTGCCGCGGTCAGGATCACGACCCGCCAATCCTCATCTTGACTGTCGTTAGAGCAGGAAGGGGAGCAGGCGGCGGTTGCGATTGAGCCCGGTCGCCTGTCGTGTTCTCGCCGCAGAGCGAGGCGGGCCCTGGTGCCTCCGGGCGTCTCCGGGACGACGGAGCGCCGCATGTGTGCTGCAGATTGTGGACAGACCCTGGCCCTTTTCCCGTGACCTATATTTAACGATGACATCATCCGGCATGTGATGGAGTTTTAGTTTTTAAGCGGTTATCACATAATTGTATTTAAAAAGATATATCGATTTACAAAATGATTATTGTACACCCTACCATGAAGCTTTTGTTTCAAGTAGAATTACAAGGTTGCAGATATATGAAAATAAAATAGAACATTCTTAGAATATCTATCATAGGAATATTATGATTTGATACCCCATTATTGGTCTACTTAAACCTCAAAGCTTCTGAAAGCCTATGATGCTGTTATTACAAATAATAGTAATAATAATTGGACTTTTATAGGTATTTTAATTTTAGTGTCAGATAAAGTATAAAGTGTCTTATAAATTAATTTATGCCTAATTGTAAATGAAGCACATGTTGCTCAATAATTATTAAAAGGTTAATAAAGATGAATCTGATCTTGCCACATGAACCAGGGTGATTGATACATATACATACTACCAGTCAAAAGTTTTTACACGCATTGAAATTTTCTTCATTTGCATGTTACTCACTTAACATTTACTAAAAATACACTCAATGTTCCTTGCTAGCAAATAGATTTACAGGATGTTCACCGTTTGAGTACCTTTATTAGCAAGAAAATGTCTTATTTTTAATTCATCAAAGTATCCTCCTCTAGTAGTTATAACAGCAGAGAACATTTGAGGCATTCTTTCTACATCAGACGTCGGACCAGTTAATAGGATGCCAGTGATTCACTTATATGTTCACTTTTATGTTATAAAGAAAACTTTTTATGTAACGCACATTTTCATTTACAGTTGTTCACTCAGCTTTCCAATGCTTATCAAGAATAAAAAAATCTGCAGTTTAATATATTATATATATACTGTGTGTGTGTATATGCATGTGTGTGCGTGTTTATGTCTGCATGTATGTGTGTATGCGTGTATGTGTGTGTGTGTGTGTGTGTGTGTATGAATGGTCTGCTAGACTAAGTTCTTGTGTTTCAGTGGTCTGGTTGTTCATAATGTGCCGCTGCCTCCCTCTGACTGACGGGATGCTCTGGATTTCCCTGCTCCCCACCCCGCCTCCCCATGCCTCCTCACACAGGGGAGCGCCTGTTCCCACCTCCCTCGGGCCTGACCTACTCCTCCTGGTTCTGCATCGAGCACTTCAGCACCGCGCTGCACAGCCACCCGGTGCGGCTGCTGACGGTGGTGCGTCGTGCCACGTCCTCGGAGCAGCACTATGTGTGCCTGGCCATTGTGCTGTCGGCCAAGGATCGCTCACTCACCGTCTCCACCAAGGAGGAGCTTCTCCAGAACTACGGTGGGCATCCCCCCCCCCCAGCCTGCCCCGGACCTGTGACTTTGCGGTCTAAGAAGTCTTCTTGCTTTAGTAAAAGCTGTTTAAAAACATATATAATTATACATATCAAAATCATAATTACTACAATTTCTTGGAAATTTTGTTATGGCTCATTTTCAAAAGCATGTTTCCTTAAATTCTCAAAAATATGTAAAAAAAGAATAGCTACTAATAGGATTCCTGCATGGGGGATGTGGAAAAATGTTTAGCCTTTTGAAAGACTTGATCTAATATTTAAAAATCAAATGACACCATATTGTTACACTAGCCAGGCTAATCCCATTATTTAGGTCACGTGTGATAAGGGCTTTCTTACTTTCGATGAATCCAGCTTTATTCACGGTGACATCTGAAAGTAATCCTGCCCTTCTCCCCCACAGTCTTCCGTCGTGTAAAAATCTCTCTGTTCCCCTGCCCACAGTGGACGACTTCAACGAGGAGTCATCCTTCTACGAGATCCTGCCCTGCTGTGCCCGCTTCCGCTGCGGTGACCTCATCAACGAGGGACAGTGGCACCACCTGGTGTTGGTGATGAGTAAAGGCATGCTTAAGAACAGCACAGCGACGCTGTATATCGACGGCCAGCTGGTCAGCACAGTCAAGGTATGATCGAGGTCATTTTGTGTGGGACAAACATTCAGTAGAATAGACTATTGGTTTTAAACATTATAATTATGTAGAAATACCTCGATTACATTTGTAGTATTGATAAAGAGTTTGGACATGAGGTCACTCTTGTGATACACGTGGGAAATGTTACGTGATTTTATTCACAATGCTCACTAAACTCTGCTCTCTTAGAGTATTACAGAAGAAGCAGCCATTTTTCGAAGGCTCTGTATTTTATGCTGCCTCTACTGAGAAATATGGTTATACCGTTAAATAAGATCTGCGACAGCGCCCTCTAACTGTACACATGTGAATGTGCCGGTTTAGGGTTCAGTGGGGGGGGGTTACTGGCAGACTGCTTAGCGGGCCCCCCAGCCAGCACACCCGGGGTGCCTCTGACGGGACAGGCCCGTCGCTGCCCCTCAGCTGTGGCCCCCCGTGTGGGAAGCTGTGGGGGGTGGGTACCTGTCTTTGTTGTGGCTTAGCACGGTTTTGTTGGCTTGCGTTGGCTTTTTTACACACCATCAAAGAGGGCAACAGTGTAAACCCACACCGCTGGCACAGAACCCTCTATCAGCCCAATTGCTTGTCTGCTAACTGGCGGGGGCCCCCCCATGTCCCCACAGCTTCACTACATCCACAGCGTCCCGGGCGGCTCTGGGTCCACCAACCCCCCGGTGTTGAGCACGGTGTACAGTTACATCGGCACCCCCCCTGCCCAGCGCCAGCTCTCCACGCTGCTGTGGCGCCTCGGGCCCACCCACTTCCTGGAGGAGGTGCTAACAGCCACCAGCGTCTCCACTGTTTACGAGCTGGGCCCCAACTACGTGGGCAGCTTCCAGGCTGTCTACCTGCCATGTGAGCATCTGTGTGTCTCTGTCTCTCTCTCTGTCTATGTCTGTCTGTCTGTCTGTCTCTTCGTCTGTCACTGTCTCTCAGTCTCTCTGTCTGTCTCTCTCTGTCTCTCCCTCTGTCTCTGTTTCTCAGTCTCTCTGTCTGTCTGCCTGTCTGAGTCTGTCTCTGTCTGTATCTCTGTCTATCTCTGTGCCTGACTGTGTCTCTATCTCTGTGTCTGCGTGTGTATCTGTCTGTCTGTCTATCTGTCTGTGTCTGCATCTGTGTCTGTCTGTATCTGTCTGTCTGCGTGTGTCTGCATCTGTGTCTGTCTGTATCTTTCTGTCTGCATCTGTGTCTGCATCTGTGTCTGTCTGTCTGTGCCTCCATGTGCAGCATTTGATAGTGTGATGATTAACAAGCTGCTCTTCCCAGAGAGGAACCAGGAGGAACCGTTTCTTTAGTCCACTGTAGAAACTTGGTTACTTGGCAGTGTCTTCTTCAGTTGAATTACCCAGCAGTATAAAATAGGAAAATGTAGGTCTGTTGTTCTTTTGATAACACAAAATTGTTACACAGATATCTAACAGAAGGGCTACAGTTTTGAAAGAAGTACGCAGCTCTTTGTACGAATTTCTCAGTTATTGACGTGCTCCTGCTGTGCCCATATACTCTGTTAGGTAAAGACCCCAAAGGAGAGGCAGCCCCCCCGTCCCCCGTGGCACTCGTCCCTGAGGAGAAGGTGTCCTTCAGCTTGTATGCACTCTCTGTGTCTACCCTCACCGTGGCCAAAATCAGGAAGGTCTACAACAAGCTGGACAGCAAGGCCATCGCCAAGCAGGTGGGCTGTGCCCGGGGTGGCAGGTCTGCCTCTCTGATTGGGGGTGGGGGGGGGGTCAAACATAAATCCTGTGGTGCACTTGCTCCCCTCTGTAATTCCCCGTGTAAACGAGCTGGAATTGCTGCTGGTCATGGGCGCCCCGGAAAGCGCAGAGCCTGCAGTTCTGATGCAGCAGTAGAGAGTGCATCCGTTTGTGTGCCTGTTCAGCACTTAGGCTCAGCCAGAAGATCCATAGCTGTTGGCCCCTCCGGTCCTGCTGTGCAGTCTGGGTGAATTATTTCTGTGTGGCCCACAGGTCTGCTCATGCACCCCCCCCCACCCTGTACCCCCCTGTTCTTCCCTTAGCCTCAGAACCCAGCAGTGCTGCATCTAGTCCAGCTGTACGAATGAAGAAAAAGAACAGGGATTATGCTTGTCATTAAAAACCGACGATTTTCCCTATTGTCAGATTGTTTCTATTTGAACCATCTGGCCGTCTGGTCGTTTGACAGAAAGTTCTTCCAGGTGAAGGAAGGGACTTCCTGAAGTCTCTACTCCTTTCTCACTTTTGTGTGTCTGCTGACCTCCAGTTGGCGGTTTCCTCTCATGAGAACGCCACCCCAGTCAAGCTCATCCACAACGCTGCTGGACACCTCAATGGCCCTGCTAGGACCGTAGGTGCTGCCGTCATTGGCTACCTGGGTAAGAGCCTTGCATTCTGATTGGTTAATATGATAATTCAGCGCTGTCATTGGTGATTTATTCTGCATTCATCTCTTGTATTGTAAATCGTTTTTGGGTTTATCAAGCCTTATTTTGTTGTGATTTTAAGCATGAAGTAGCTCTAGGAGAATGAGAAATGTTTGTATTCCAAGACTACAATTCTGAGCTTTAAAGCCGCCTACAGGTGATTTGATAAATGAAAGGAAGGTTTTGATGTGTTCCTCTGTCTGCCCTTTTTGAACAAGGATAAACATTGGTTTTAGTTTTTGTAATGCATGCTGGTTGAAACGCTTTCTTCCTGAATACAGACAGCTCTGTCCGATATGAAAGGCGAATGGTCTTATGTAAAAATAAAAAGGAAAAAAATAAAAATATCACAAAGAAGGTGTTGAGAAAGAATAAGATCGAGTTTAGGGCCAAGTAAGCATGCTCTTACATTACATTGGAAACACTTAACAATGTAATAATATGAAGGATGTAATAGCTTCAGTTCACCTTGGAAAGGTCTCTTGTAAATCCTCAGCTTTGAGTAGTGGGACATCAGACCCAATGTAAAGTTCTTTGAGGGATGGACAAGGTGGTAAGCTGCTTTGCACACGGCACTGTACCAGGTTCAGTGATGTTTAGATCTGGTGATAGGGGAGGCCATGGAGGGTTTGACTTCATCCTGGAAGTGCATGGAATCACTCTTCAACTTGTTTAGCAGTGTGTATTGCATAGTGGATTATGGGAACATTATGAAGGAACAGGGTTTGCATCATAGGGTGCTCCTGGTCCTGTAAAAGGATCTCACATTCCTTGGCCATCACATGACCATGCAGAGCAATCGTTGCACTGAAACACTCCCATGAGATGCCATTATGGATCTCCTCCATGTTTGACAGTTGGCAACAGACATTGTAGGTTGCACTTCTTGTTATCTGCTACAACATTACATTACCTGCTCTACTGCACTATACCATGCTATGTTAAGTACGGATAGCTTATGTACCACTTTTTTCTTTATAGTTTACATTCTGTATATAATGTACAGAAAGTTTATATTCAGTTATGTATTGTATGGATAGTCACATCATTCTATTCATGTTATATAGTTTATGTTCCATATTCATATCCTGCTGCTATATTATGCACACTCTGTTCATATGTATATTGTGTGTTTGCCCTCCAATCGTGTCATGTGCACTATGTGTTAATCTGCACTATACCCCTGTAATTGTGAACATAACCCCCCCCCCCCATGTGTCTTATGATGTCTTGTACCATTGTATACTTGTGCATGACTGGCTAGCATAAAACATAAAGTCCTATTTGATTTGACTTGACTTTAAAAGCACCTCCTAACTTCAGCATGGGAGAGTGCAGGAAAAAGAGTAGATGGTTCATCAGACCGAATTAATTTTTGTTTTGCTGTGGGATTCAGGTTTTGTGACCTTTACAGCAGGTTATGGGTCTTTATGCATTGCTCTTAGCCATAGCCATATGATGTTCACTTTCTATTGAAGCCAGGTCATAGAGGTGCTGATTGAGTTCTGTGGTTGTTTGAGGCTATTTCTGTGATGTTTAGCAGGTATCCTGTGTCTGTATGTCCCTCTTATTGATCTACTTATTTGATGCCTGCTAACTGGTTGTCCTTCACTCATTACATAATTTTGCAGTTTTTATACTGATGCACATGCAATTCAGGCACCAACTGTTTGACTTCTTTGAAATAATCTTACTCAGGTTGCTTTGAAAACTCGCTTACTGCTAATCGGCATGCAGCCAATACGGATCACCTCCGTAGCTATGTTTCATTAGGTTGCTTCAGAGTCCTTTTTCATGTGGTGTCTCCCCCTATATGTGACACAGTTGATACTACAATTATCTGTCCAAAGGGATCCGCCGTCTATCAGTGGAGACACAATGTCGCTTCACCTCCTAATCTCTCGCCAGGGGTCCGAGCGTTTGTGCCGAAGCCTGTGGCGACAAACCTCCAGTACATTGGGGGTGCAGCCGCCATCCTGGGCTTGGTGGCCATGGCCTCAGACGTGGAGGGGCTGTACGCCGCGGTCAAGGCGTTGGTGTGTGTCGTCAAGAGTAACCCTTTGGCCAGCAAGGAGATGGAGCGTATCAAAGGCTACCAGGTAGGTCTGCGATGTCGTGCAGTGCAGGCCCAAGTTCAGCTGTGCCACTGCGCATGTGGCGTAAAAAAAGAAAGTGTGTTTATTCACATGCTAGCCAAGGTGTCCCTTGTTTCATGGCCTTGTGGTCTTGTTTGGGATAGACTCCAAGCTCACTGTAAGGCGTTACTGGATAAGCAGTTACGGGAGATGTGACGCGGCGGATGTGGATCCCCGGGTATCACTGAGAACTCTCATCTTTGTATTTGGGGCTTTCATTCCTGCTCCTATCACTGTATTTATGGAGTTCCTATGCTCTCTCCATCATCCAGAAGTCCAAAAACATGCAGCGAGTTTAATTTGTGGCTAAATTGCCGGAGGATGTGATGTAGTGCAGCGCTTCTCAATTGCTGTAGCCTCAAGACCGAAGTATTTGCTGGGCCGTTAAGGGACCGGCCTAAATTTGAGGAAGGCTCAACCTCCCCCATGTTCAACCCAAAGTTACGCCCATAGTGTAGTAACAGTAGCACAGTGTGTTCATGCACTGTTAAACAGAAAAATTCGACATTAGAAAAAAATATATATATTTTTTTAACTACACACTATGCGACCCACTTTTGGGTCACGACGCACCAGCTGAGAATCAGTGACCTAGTGCAGGTACACGCCCCGCTGTAGACTGACATCTGCTCAGTGTCACACTAGTGCCCTGTGCATTCTGGTACAGGCTCTAGGTTTACTACGACCTAATGCTTGGTGGGCAGCCGGATGGATGGACGAGACCACCAGTTCCCCTTGAGCATCCTCTTGAGTCTGAGTCCAGTCTCATTAGCCTTAGGACCCCGAGCGCTCATCATTTTGTTTAGCTCCCCAGCTCATGCCACTTACATATTTTCATACATAAAAACCTATTTGAATTGCAAGCATATTTTCCATTGTCATTTTCTGCACTCACTCCAAGACGTGACTTGCTGTCAGTACTTAAAACTAATTGCATGCATTATGATTTACATACTTTTTGTCTGCCAATTATAATATGATTATAATATAATATAATATGTTATCTCTGCCCAGTCCTTCCCCACTGTACTCTGCTATGTATTCTATATAACAGCCTGCACATACCTGCATTTGATATGAGTAGCTGTGTGTCCTTGGACTTGGTCGCATCAGTGCCTGGGCGTACCTTAAGCCCTCGGCCCTCTCTTCCAGCTCCTGGCCATGCTGCTGAAGAAGAAGCGCTCTTTGCTGAACAGTCATATCCTTCACTTGACCTTCTCCCTAGTGGGCACGGTTGACAGTGGCCATGAGACCTCCATCATCCCCAACTCCACTGCATTTCAGGACCTGCTTTGTGATTTTGATGTAAGAGCTCCATCTCAGCTATGCATCAGGGAGACCTTTCTGTGCCTGACAGGGCTGATAGTCTTGCATATCCCTCTGATTTGAGTTAGCATCTGTCATGACCATCTCAGGCTACAGCCTACATCTGCCTTCTGCCTTTGCTTCTCTCAGGTTTGGCTCCACGCTCCTTATGAACTGCACCTGTCTCTGTTTGAGCATTTTATTGAGCTCTTGACTGAATCCAGGTGAGTTTATTACTCTGTGATTTTTAACTGCTAGTCAAATGCTTCGTAAAATTGGGCTGTTTGTCACCTAAATCTGAGCTGGCATGTCCTATTATATAATCACGCAGAATGTTTTTCATGTTGTTCATATTTTTGGTGTTCCTTGATGAAATTGGAGATACTCCAATTACGAAGCGATGAATTTAGAGCGATAGTTAGAACATGATCTTCCTTGGGTCTCGTCACCTTCAGCGAGGCGGCGAAGAACGCTAAACTCCTGAGGGACTTTCAGCTGATTCCCAAACTGCTGCTGACGCTGCGGGACACGTCCCTGTCCCAGCCCACCATCGCCGCCATCAGCAGTGTCCTCAGCCTCCTGCTTCAAGGCTTTCCCAAAAGCTGTGACCTTCTCCGGTACGGTGCCAGGGTGACCTCACCCACGGGCTCCCGTCATTGGACTGCGGGTTCATTTAGCTTATGCCAGTGTCAACAAGTTATGCGGTTTCATTCCACAGTTATTCATAGTACAGTAACCTTACAGAAACTTTACAGTCAGTCACCTTCCTAACAAGTAATTCCTCACTGTTAGCTGTCTAACTTGGACTTCGCCAATTGTCATTTAATGGCCATTTAACTTCGAGGGTTTGTTTTGTGGCTAGTGAAATTATTGTACATTGTTTCTATTTATGCAGGTTTGGCCAATTCATTGCCTCCACTCTGCCCACGTTTGCGGTCTGTGAAAAATTTGTCATCATGGAAGCCAACAGCGAAGAAAAAATAGATGGAAGTAAGCCATAGACCGCACTGAAAAAGCATCAGCACGTGAACGTACGTTAGGACGGTTCTGATTCCTGTTCTCCAACATCTCCAGCAAATGAGGACGATTTTGCCGGCCACCTGTCTGCCAATCTCATCCTCCTGAGGAACCGGCTCCTGGACATTTTGCTGAAGTTGCTCTTCACCTGCAAGGAAAAGTGCACCGTGAATGCACAGTAAGTGTTTGCAGTGGGGATTTCATTTACTGACAGCCAGTCTCTCTTAGTATTGTGTATTAAGGGTTCTGCGGGCTGTCATTTGCTCCCTGACACCTTGAAGAAAGATTAAGGCCTGATTAACTCCCCACCTTTTCCTGCTTTAAATGCGCTGTCATTATAGGTATGTGTTTGGGGGATGGGAGACACATATGCCGCAGTCTCAACCGCAGCTACTCGCTTCTGCCCCCTGCAGGGCATGCGAGGAACTGGTGCGCACACTGGGCTTCGACTGGCTGCTCATGTTCATGGAGGAGCACCTGCACTCCAGCACGGTGACGGCAGCCCTACGGATCCTGGTGGTCCTGCTGAGTAACCAGTCCATCCTGGCCCGCTTCAGGGAGGGGATGTGCGGAGGCGGTTGGCTGGACCACACCGACTCCGTCATCACTAACAAGATTGGCACCGTGCTGGGTGAGCCGCAGCAGAGTGGTGTCTGATTTTAAGCCTCGTCTCCGGGCTTTGAGGTGTCTGAGACGTGATGGACACTGCAGGGTTCGGTGTAGACGCCTCTTCTTGTCCTCTCTTGTCAGGTTTCAACGTGGGCAGGAACGCAGGCGGCAGGTCCACGCTCCGCGAAATCAACAGGGAGGCCTGCCATTTCCCAGGGTTCCCTGTTCTCCAGACCTTCCTCCCCAAGCACACCAATGTGCCCGAGCTGTACTTCCTGCTAATGGCGCTGTTCCTGCAGCAGCCCGTTACGGAGCACCCCGAGAACCTGCAGGTACATGTCAGTATGACACCTTTCCTTTGCTAATCTCACTCTCTAAGTCTGCAGCTGGCTTGCGTTCTTTGGGCATGTTCTGCTAGTTCTGCCAAATCTTTAAGATCTTTAAAATTTACCTTGATGATATCTAACTGACTGCTGTTCTCTGGTCAGGATTATTATTAATGTTGTCGTTTTTGTTCTTCTTCTTCTTATTATTATTATTATCAGTAGTAGTACCAGTAGTAGTAGCAGCACTCTAATGAGGGTTGATTAATTACACAGAAATATTACTTGCTTGTCATTTTCAACATGCTGTCTGTGTAAATGATGGCCTTAGGATGGAATGGCTGTTTTAATTGCCCTTGAGTAACTGTGTTGCATGTTGTGAAAGTGACTGATGTAAATGAGTCTGTGACATGGCTGACAGGTCAAAGCCCCCGGATGCTGACTGACCATCCCCCCCCCCCTCATCTCCTGCAGTTTGACCTGGACTCCATCTGGACGTTCATCTTCGGCGTGCCCGCCTCCAGTGGTGCTCTGGTGGGCTCCATCAGCACCATGTGTACGGAGGCCGCCTTCCTGCTGCTGGCCATGCTGCGCAGCATGCTCAACCTGGTGAGGGGGGGGGGCTTGGGTGCTGAAGGCCCTGATGGAGGTGGGGCTGGTGCTGATGCTGATGATGGTGAATTTCGGGTTGCCTGCTTCCAGCCCTGGCAGTCAGAAGAGGAAGGCTCCTGGGTGCGAGAGTATCCGCTCACCCTCATGCAGTTCTTCCGTTACCTCTACCACAACGTGCCCGACCTGGCTCACCTGTGGGTCAGCCCTGACTTTCTCTGCGCCCTGGCGGCTACAGTGTTCCCCTTCAACATCAGGCCATACTCCGAGATGGTACGGGCGGGGGCCTATATGTGAACTGCTGAAAGAGTGCCAATTAACAAGACTAAAATTAAAGCTGAATGACGAATATTAGAGGTAGAATTTGGAGAGATTATGCTTTGAAGTCTAGAATTTTGTCTAGAATTTCTCATTTGTTACTTTGTTCATCTTCACTGGCTCACAAACAGCATACTGTAGCAATCACTATTGCAATGCCAGTTATATTTTATTAGTATTCTTTGTTAACTATAGTCTGACTATTCGGTGCTCTCCGTACACTTTATATAATTTTTTAAAATTAATGTATATCATGAATGTAGCAAAGCACATTTCGATATGTAGAAGATCAGTAGTTATTTGAATGTCATATGATTTGCATTTTGAGTATTCAGTTTGGTTAGAGTTTGGGAAGAATGATAATAGAGAGTATATTGGGTATTTCTTCTGTCGTGGTCTTAGGTCAGTGACTTAGACGATGAGGTTGGCTCTCCTGCTGAGGAGTTCAAGGCCTTCACAAGTGATACAGGCATGAACCGCAGCCAGTCAGAGTACTGCAATGTTGGCTCCAAGACCTACCTGACCAACCACCCGGCCAAGAAGTACGTCTTTGACTTCATGAGGGTGCTGATCATGGACAACCTGTGCATGACCCCAGCCTCCAAGCAGGTGCCCATCATTGACATCTTGTTGGAGGTGAGGTCTTATGTTTAAATATTAAGAATGCTGTCTGTCAAGTACTGAATCATTTCTTTTGTTGTTTTTGAAGCCGTTGGCTATGAATCTATACCTCTTATTGGTCATTTAGCTTCTTCTGTTTTTGCTACATGGTGTTTAGTCCATGGACTTGCTAAAAGTTTAGCAGAATGTCAGGTAAGTGTTTCTTAATTTAGAGTAGCCTTTGCCCTTTTGTAGCAGTAGGGGTTCATGGTTAACTGGACTAGAAACCTGAGGATAATGATTTGTTGATATATAAATGGTGACAGGAAACTGGTGTTTTAAAGCCCAGTCCATGGAGGCCAATAGACCATCGACGTTTTTGGTCCCTCCCAGCTCCGTGCCAGACAACCCACATTCTTTCTTCCTCCCACCTCCCAATAAAAACGTGCTGTAGACGAAGGTCCCTCAAGGGGCAAAGTATATGAAAGGAACACTACAGAAAGGGGGTCTGAGATGTGGTGGCAGTTAGGAGAAGATCGCTCCCTTAATGGTTCTCCTGTATGTGCCAGCCTGAGGCACGCTTGTGTGACTGGCATCTCTCTGCCATCTCCCTGGCTTGGTCCCAGCGTGGGCTTTATGCCCAGTTAGGGCAGACTGTCCCGCCCCCTCATTGGAGCAGTCATCAGTTGCCTGCCATTTCCCGATGCATTTCTTGAACCCGCCAGTGAGGAAACCACTGTTACTGCCAGTGATGATCACCCCCTACTGGTGACTTCCCGATAGGGCTGTTGTAAGACTGGTTGTGTATATGGTTGGAATATGGAGCAATTTCATTTGAGTTATATACTGATCCCAAATAAAAATGAAACATTTACATTTTCTTCCTCCTCCTATTCCCAGTCCTCTCCAGAGCGCTCAACTCGAACCCAGCAGAAGGAGTTTCAGTCCTACATCCTGGACAGTGTGATGGAACACCTACTGGCTGCAGATGTCCTTCTAGGTGAGCATTTGATGGTCTTCTGCTTTTAAAAGCAGATAAGATTCTTCATTTTAACATTAACCCAGCCTGGTGAGAGTTAACATCTCATCTACACTGTGTGTGTGCAGTTTGTTCTCCCCATATTTTGCAGGTTTCCACTGGGTACTGTGTTTTTTTTTTCTCTTGCAGTCCAAGGGCATGCAGTTAGGCTAATTGGTGTCACAAAGCTGCCCATTGTGTATTTCAATTGTGTGCGTGCGTGCGTGCACGCGCATGTTACCTGCAATGAAATAGGACCCTGCCCAGGGTTTTTGCCAGCCCAGTGTTGGGTTCCAGACCTTCCTGTAGCCCTAACCAAGTGGGTAGAAGCTGGATGGATTAACCAAACCATTTTAAGTCTAGTCGTGCTCTCAGGCTTAGTCTCCTATGTGTCTTACTCAGTCTTCTATTGCCCTCCTTGAAGGCATGCTGCAGGACATGCTGTTGAACCTGTTGTCTTTGCCATGCTCTCCTGATACCCGGGTGTGTCCCTGCACCAGGTGAGGAAGCATCGCTGCCCATCGCCAGCGGAGGGAGCTACACGGTCCTGGTCAATAATGTGTTCTACTTCACCCAGCGGGTGGTGGACAAGCTGTGGCAGGGCATGTTCAACAAGGACTCCAAGCTGGTGGTGGATTTCATCGTGCAGCTCATTGGCCAGGTGGGAGATCCCACCTTTTCCTGAACCCCTGCCGCCTGGTCCAGGCAGACCGACGCTGCTGCATGACAACTAGTACTTACATCTCCATGATAAACCTGCCCAAGGTTTTCATGACTAGTTTTTTATTTTCCCGTTTTATAGCTAGTTTTTTTTCCTTTATATAAACATAAAATTTTATGTCTTTGGACTTTACGCCGGGAGAGCTGGGCTTGGTGCAGATTAAAATTTTACATAAGCTGTTGGACAAGCACCTTAAATCATTTTAGTCATTTTCCGGGTACTTGGATTGTTAGTTGTTGATTGGGGACAATGGCTCTGAACCCCCAGCATGGGCATATAGACCTATGGCTGCTATTATGCTAATCTGTTCAAAAAGAGCTATTAAGGTTAATCCATAATTACAAATTCTTGAATTAACTTTTGGCTATACAGTAGTAGCAAATGACCTTGGTGATAATGAAAGCCATAATCTGCCGTCTTTCGGCATTTGCACTCATATTTTTGTAAAACAGAAAAGACCTTTAAAAGGTCATCCATGTGCGTCTGTCCCCTTAGTTTTCATTTTTGCAGCTGCCGATCTCAATGGTATAAGTCCACAAAGCCGCTGGGTCTCGCAGGAGCCCCCAGGCAATGTTCTTAATAAACTCAGCATCATCATCTTATGGAAAGATTTCCCCAAATGCTCCCTGCCGTTTTTTTCCAGGAACTGCCGAAGTGCAAAGCATTAGCATCTAGCAGCAATTTTTAGCTGCCTTTTCTAACTCGTTTAAAGTTTTAATTTTGCAGACTAAATTTAACATAAAATTACTGATAAATTGGGGGCTGCTATGTTTGTTAGAACACAAAATATCACACATGTATTATTTAAAATGCTTGTATCAAGTTGTCTAGTCATGTATGACAATATGCAAGCCTTTGATCTGACCTAATTACCTGTTAGGGTAAATTTTATTAATGCAATACATTAATATCACTTGGGTTTGTCAGGTAAAAAAAAAACAGCTGCTAGCTGAAAAGTGGAACATGATTAAAAAGCAGTTTCTGTCATAGCAGTGACTTGTTATACTAATTAATCATTAAAATGTTGGGAAGTTGTGGAAGAATTAATAGACTGATGAGCAAATCTGCACTCCCAGGTGGAAATGCATCCCATGGGTTTGCATATTTAATTTGCATAAATGTGTCGGTTACGTTGTCGAATGTAGTGGTATGCTGAAATTTCTGCCTGTAAGCGGAGGCATATCCGGGGGCGGGGCCACATGGACATGGGCAGCAGCTGAAAAATGATTAGCCCTCAAAGTGCCCTCTCACCTGTCACTCACCCATTCAGAACATCCCATTGGCTGGCTTTGGTGAGGTGTTCTGTATGGGCTGTCATCAGGGAGATACGAAAGAGCTACTTGACGTAATGGCATCCTGCATCTCTGTGAGAGATTATCATCTGGTCACAGATGCAGCAGTGAAGCCGTGATCCTGGCCTGGCAGAGCCGGGAGACACCTCGTGTCTGTAGCTGGCTCCGGTGCGCATTTTCGGAGGTCGCTACCCATTGGCCCGTGACGGCTCTCTGAAGCGGAACCAGTGTCATTTGACTCTGATCCCAAACATGCGCTACGTCTGTTTTTATCAGACGGATTCTGAATTGTTTGGGCACATCCTGGATAAACCAGTGTTTCATCCAAAAATAAAAATGCCCCATGTGATTTTAACAAGGCATTTTTAGGATACAATTGTACTTCAACGGGCTGTTATTGTCAATTATCCACAGATGGTATTAATTTGTCCGAATATTTTAACGTGTTCCAGATTGTTCAGTATATTTCTCATTGTGTTTTTTCCCCCCGGTTAATCTGAACAGTCCAAAAGGAGATCCCAGTCCTTCTCTCTGGACTCCATCTACCACTGTCTGAACCGGACCATCCTCTACCAACTGTCACGGCCTCAAAAAACCGTTCCGCAGCAGGTGGCGCTGCTGGACGCATTGCGCATACTCACGGTCAACCGCAACCTGGTTTTGGGCCCTGGCAACCATGACCAGGAGTTCATCGCATGCCTGGCCCATTGTTTCATCAACCTACACACGGGGAGGTAGGAGACGTAGCAGGTCGGGGAATTTTTTGCAGTAGATGGTGTTTTTTTTTTTTTTGTGGCAAAGCCCTTCAAATTAAATCATTTGTTCAGTTGTGCGACAGCAGAGCCAGTCTGAGGGTTTGGAGTGGTGAATACCTGAAAAGGAGTTTGTGTCATCAGGCACTTTGCTTACCAGCTACAGTGTTATTATACGGGAAGGTGGAGGAGAAAAGTCAACCAGTTCTTCACACTCTGCCGGCACCAACCTGCAATCAGCTCTGTTCAGTACCAGAGATACCTGCTTAGTCGTTTCAGCCCTCCTAGCTCAGTTTCTTTGGCAGCCGCATTTTTGTAACTTGGCCCTGCTCTGCCAAGATGTTCCTGAGAAAAATACATATTTAACACCTCTATAGGTCATAGTTTAAGACAGCTCGCAGTGTTTTCAGTGCCCCCTAACCATTTTCTGGCAACCGCTGTCCCTCCCTGCCAGCTGCGTGGACGGTTTTGGCCTGGAAGCTGAAGCCCGCATGACCACCTGGCACGTTATGATACCGTCGGAGACGGAGGCTGATGCCTCACACAGCCAGGACGTCAGCGAAGGTGAAGCAGCCCCTGCAGATCGCTTAGCTGCACCATACTTGTTTCTGTTCCTCCAAGAGTTACTTTAAAACATCTAAAACATTAGTTGTGATCTGCTCTTGAGCCTTTGTATCCTAAGCTAAAAGCCTTTGATGTCGAGTAGTGCTTTTCCTATTGGAGATATTAGGTAGCTCAGTACTTTAATATATAAACAGAAATTACCTTTATTTGAGCTACGTTTGCATTTCCAGTAGCTTAAACCGACAGAGACCTTTTATGCAGAGGGCACCACTGAGGCCTAGCGTATGCTTATGTAAGTGTGTCCTGTGTTCCCATGATTGCTCCAGGTCGCCACCTCCTGCTGAAAGCAGTGAACCGCGTCTGGACCGAGCTCATACACAGCAAGAAGCAGGCACTAGAGGAGATCTTCAAGGTGCCCCTGCCAACTAACGAGCGCGGCCATGTGGACATAGTCTCTGCCCGGGCACACGTCGAGGAGCTGGCAGCGAAGAATTGGCTGAACCACCTTGGTGAGCGAGGCTTAAGCCCAGCAGGGACTTCATCTGCAACGGTTCAGCGCGAGGTCTGAATACGGATGTAGCGTTAAGCAGATTTTACGAAGGAGCCAGGCCGCGCTGCTCTAGTCGATAGTCTTTTGAGTGATGTCTTTCATAAGGGGTTTGATTTGCCTTTTATTGCCCATTGACTATAAATAAAAAGTATCATCATTGTAAAGAAATATATCTGTCTCTTTCGAATATGAGATTTAATCCTGCGGAACATTTTCCATTCAGACTGAATGCATTTGAAATGAATATCTCAGCTTCTGAGGCAGACTGCTTATATCTCGATCCGCCTATGAGGCCTAGAGAGTTTTGCCAACTGCTGGCAAACCTTTCGAAAGCATCATACATTCAAATTTTTATCGACGGCGAATATGTGCTGTGGAAGCATCACAGCAAAGTTAACTGGTATTGTGCTGGATTATGCGATTTGCAAGTCATGGCACCGCAGGCATAATCAGATTAAGGTCTGTGGTCTGCAGTGGTGGGGGGGCTTAACTCTGCCACTTCTGCATTCCAGCGCACGAGAAGAAGTGCATCAGCCGCGGGGAGGCAGCTGCCCCCGTCGCCCAGTCCAAGCTGTCGAGGGTCAGCAGCGGCTTTGGCCTGTCCAAGCTGACGGGGGCCCGGCGTAGCAGGAAGGAGAGCGGCATCAACAAGAACAATCTGTCGGCACAGGTACGCCCAGTGCTGGCACAGGAACCACTGCTCTCCCTTAGCGTGGCTCTTGTCTGAACGTGCTGTTTGCCTGCAGGAGACCTTCCAGTGGATGTTTACGCACATCGCAGTGGTTCGGGACCTGGTCACCATGCAATACAAAGAGTACCAAGAGGTTTGGATGCAGTTCTGCCATATTTTTATATTGAGATATTGCCTGGCCAAAAAAAAAAGAAGGTTACCCTTTGAATTTAAATCGGCAAAGTATTTAAGAGCCAGTGATTGGATCATTATTACAGTTCAGCAACGTTATAAGCAATCAAGTGAAGTCAGCTGAGAACCTGAATCTCCTGAATGTCCAGGTTATCCCAGCAGTGGATTTTTTTCTGTCCTAATGTAATGGGCATATTCCAGGACGGTAATGCCAAGATTTATCATGCTTGATTTTTCCCCCCAAAGTGTGGTTCAGGGATCATTTTCACACATGAATTGGCCACAGTGTCTTGACCGTAACCCCACTGAAAGTCTTTGAGATGTGCTGAAGAAGACTTTATGGAGTGAAGAAGACTTTATGTGCTGAAGAAGACTTTATGGAGTGGCTCACTTTTTTTTTTTTTTTTTGGCCAAGCAGTGTATTTACATTCCTTCTTACTTGTACTTAATTCTATCAACCTTTAAATTCTAATTCCTAAACACAATGAGCTTTGAAAACACTTTCTCCTTGTTGTTAAAGGACAAAGTGAAGATTAGGATTAGTTTCCTAAAACCAGAGGCTAGACTAGACTTAAAGATTTTACTGGGGTGGCAGTGGAGCAATATTTTGGCAACCTGGGCGAGGGGGCTTGGTATATATTACTGACGGTGCCGGGGGGCCCCACCTCGATATATTGGTGAGGGGTATGACCTGGGGTGCCCACGTATTTACTGGGGGAGGCATGGCCACCCCTTAGATCAGGGGTGGGGAACGTTCCATGGAGGGCCGGTGTGGGTGCGGGTTTTTGGGATGACCTCTCAATCAGCCAATAATAAAACAGCGGTTCTCAGCCCCCGTCCC